AGAGAATAGAAATGAAGCCCTTTCTTTAGAGACTAGGTCTCGTGGTGTAGCTCAGGCTGGCCTCAGAAATCCATGTTTAAAGCATTGTGCATGAAATTAAAAAAGAAGTGGAGCACTAAGAAGCACTAAAAACAAAACAAAACAACAAAAAACCAGTAAGAGACCTTCTAAAAAGAACAATATACTGAACAAATAATGAGAAAATTAGGTTCAGTTGGTAAAAGTTTTTGCTGTGCAAACCTGACCACTCGAGTTTTATCCCGGGAACCCATGTAAAAAGCCAGATGCAGAGGTGAACATCTGTAATCCTAGTACTCCTGTGGTGAGATGGGAGGCGAGAAGGAGCACCAGCCAGTTCTCGGGCTAGCTAGCCTGGAGTATGGAGCATCATTCAAAAATAAGAGAACCTTGTCCCAACAAGGTGGGAGAAGAGAACCAGCTCCTGAAACTTTCATCTTACACACACCATACACACAATTCGAAAATTAAAAATATGATAACTTGATAGTTAAAATAGTTAGAAGAAGGCCACCACCCCAGCACTCGGGAGGCAGAGGCAGGCGGATCTCTGTGAGTTCGAGGCCAGCCTGGGCTACAGAGTGAGTTCCAGGAAAGGCACCAAAGCTACAAAGAGAAATCCTGTCTCAAAAAACAAAAAAGAAAAACAAAAAAATAGTTAGAAGATGGAAATTATATTTATTTGTTTTTCATTTAATTTTTTTTTTATCTTGTGTGTATGGGTATTTTGCCTGCATGTATGTTAACACCATGTGCACGCAGTACCCACAGAGGTCAGAAGAGGGTGTTAGATTCACAGTGGGACTGGAGCTACAGACAGTTGGGAGACACACCCTGAGTGCTGAGAACTCTGGTCCTCTGGAAGAGCAGCCAGTGCTGTTAACAGCTGAGCTATTTCTCCAGCAAAATTTTAAATGGGAACTATAAGATAAAAAGAGAACATGATAGTAAAGCAATAAGACTCATGAATTTTTTTAAAAAAAGGAATGTTTTAGTAGGATTTATATTCTAAAAATTAAGGAAAAGAGAAACCCAATACTAGAAAGAAAAAACCAATCATGTAAATTTAAAGTAAAGCAAGAACAAAACCAGAATACAGAGTATGGCTTCCGGCTGGAAGTAGTGGTCTGGGTGGGTCTAGGTGCTGCTGTGAGGACGCTGGACCAGGTGGTGAGATGATGAGAGCCTTCTTTATTGCTCTCCCATTATTCTTGGCCCAGGCACGCAGCCCACATACATGGTCTTCAGCATCTGAAGTCTCCCCAGATTCCTCCGGCCAGCAAGCACTCCTCTACTTTGCTTCTTGGAATGTTTTCAGTTTTCACCCTAGTTCACACTCATTTCCTGATCCTTTACTTCCTGTGTGAGGAGATCAGCATGCACACAGCAATGAAATCATATTGCTAAATGAACTTCTGCCTTATCTCTTTGAAGTTCTTGTGGTGTTTGTTTTGGTCACTGCACTGTTTTTCACACACTTACTCCCACACGTTCATACGCACACCCCGTCTTTATCACCTGGGTTCATCTTTGAGGTTGCAACACCCCCTCTTTTTTTTTTTTTTTTTAAATTGAGCCCAAGTTGCTTAGTAACTGCTCTTTTCCCTGTCTTTGATGGCAATGGAATTGGGCGAGGAGAAAGAGACAACGTCTAGGACCACATGATGGCAGGATGTTTAAGAATGTGGTGACAGGGGAAGTGTACTCAGGGACCCTCTACACCTGGGAGGATGTTAGCAGAGTCCTGGGCAGACGAAGTGGTGCTTAGGAACCAAGATTAAGTAGACTTGGGAAGCCCTGGGACAATAGCAGCTCTTTACAACTCCATAACTCATCAGTGAGTTAGGGATTAACAGCAGATTCGTGGGTTGCAGGTTTATGTCTTCCAAATTCATATTCTGAAAACCAGTCCCAGTATAATGGGAGGTGGGGCCTTTGGGAGGTGATTGGGTCACAAGGGCCTTTGAGAATGCAATTGGTATTTTTATGAGAAGCTAGAAAGTTAATGAGCTCTTTTCCTGTCTGATCAGGACAAGACTAGAAACAGGAAGTCAGTCCTGACCAGACAATCTGCCAGTGCCTTGATCTTGGTGTTCACAACTTTGGGAACTGTGTAAGTTTCTGTTGTTTAAGGTCCCCAGTCTATGGTACTTTTTCCCAGCAGACAAGACTAAGATGTAGACACAATGCCCCCTAAAGTCAGATTGGTGTGCTTCTAGAGGCTGTAGGTGGCACTTTACATATTCCAGCAAGGGATGGCCACTGTGGTCCTACTCTTGTGCTGGGTCTTGGGAGACATTTCTCAAGGCATTTTGCATTATTAATGGACTATCAGTCACCCAGAGACCAAACACAGATGAAGCTTATCATGTTGAAGTGCAGAATAAAAAAGTTCCCATCTCTTATGACGCCACTGACATTCCACAGAAACCCAACTAAATGGAGCTCAGTGAATCACCTGGCCCTTCAGTAAATACACCACAAGGTATATGCAAGATAGAATTCATCGACTCATGCATTCAGGCCTTCCCTTTTCTAGATCGTGAGTTGGCTTTATGCCTGTTATTCACCAAACAACCGATGTAGCTTACTTTTAAACCATAACTGGTCTTGATTTGGTCCTAGGCCTTTGCTATAGAATTCATGTCTGTTTCTGTCCCAATATCCCCAACACCTTGTGTGATAGAAAGTATTAGGAGATGGAGTTATTGATAGGGGATTAGGTCACGGGCACCAGTCTTCATGGATGGGATAGTCTTGTAATAGACTTTAGAGAACTCCCTTGTCTTGTCTGTCTTGTGGGGACACATTGAGCAGATTGCTGGCTATCAATCAGGAAGTGGGTCTGTCAGACACTGAAGAGGTTTGTGCCTTGATTTTGGATTTCCCAGCCTCTAGGGAAGTCTGCTTATAGACTACTCAGTCTATAGTATTCTGTCACAGCAATCAGAATGGATTAAGACAGTCCTCTTGACCATACCTTGTGGGTTCCCATATTCTTCAGCCACACACTTTAAAAAATTAATTGATTTACTTTCATAGAAAGTTGATTAAATCAATCAGGAATAGAGTCACAGTTTCCCAGAGGAAACCATTATTTCTAAATCTTTCAGAAGATCTTATGGACATGCTTGTTCTATGAGGAATGTACATGGACCAGAGATAGGCATGTGGAGCGAGCCTTTTAGTCCAGGTCCACTCCAAAGTGTGCTGTGCTCTTCACGAGGAAGCCAAGCTCACTCCACTTACGAGGTCATGGTAGTATGTCCACCCTGTCACCTTTGCACCAGTTATCACACTTCTTGCCAGATGTTCAGTCAAAAGGAGGTCTTGGATAATCTAATGATCTTGGCTCTCCTTCCTTTGTTCTTGTCCTTGACATTCGATTCTTGGGTTTAGTTTTGGTTTTCTTAGCCTCACCTTCCATTTCTAGCACCCCCATCCCATATTTTACGGTTTCAATCCTTTGTTCTCTGTCTCTTCTGGGTTTCCCATTCGCTGGCCTGCTTTCTATCCACTGAACCTCCAAACCCCTGCTATCTGGTCTCTGCAGTTTAAATAGGCAAGTTTTGCCTACATGGCAGTTTGGCTGAGGGTTCTGGAAGGATCTGAGAGAAAGCTAAAAACAAAAAACAAAAACCAAAAAACAAAAAAACCCCAAAGGATCCCCTGGTTCATTCCTTAACCAAACATGTAAGTTATATCAAAGTGGGGCTTTTTAAGAATTAAGAAATCCAGAAGTTTGCCATATCGCCTTTTCTTGATTCAACGTTAGAATAATGCAGCGGCCTCCTTCACCAGAATTGGGCCCCATTCCAGCACCTTCTACTTCAACGGTATTATTTAGCTGTATTCTTGAACTTTGATTATTCTATGGGCACCGCTGGACACACGATCTCCACAGAGGTTGACAACGATGACCAGCCCCTCACCGACAAACTTCCTTCTCTCATGCTTCTCTGGACGCTCCTTGGGGGTTCCTTCTCTTTGGTTCACAGAGTCGTCATGTTCTAGGCTCCACCACTCCTCCTCCTCCTCCTCCTCCTCCTCCTCCTCCACCACCATCACTTGGTTGAGGTCCGTTCGCTCTTCCCTTCTTGTGCCTAGGCAGGCCTTTCTCACGCAGGCTTTCACAGCTTCTTGGCTCATCTCAGTGAGCTGGACACCGTCACCTCCTTGGTCACCAGCCTGCGCATTCTAGGGTGCAGACCCCGCCGGTGTTACACAGCTCTGTGCCCCACGTGCCAACAATGCACGTAGCCCGGAACAGGTGTCCAGGGAAGGAGTGATAGGCCAGTGGATGGACGAGTAAGAGTCCGTAACAAGGAAGGCGCTGGCGCTGTTCACCAGCGAGGACAGGAAGCCCAGGGCATCCTTAAGCCTGGTGGCACCGGCATAATGACATCGGCGAGGTTGTGGGTTCAGACCCTGCGAGAGGGACCCCGAGCAGAAAGCGGGCTCGGTTGCCGTCTCCCTGCCGTGAGCTGCCCACGCAGGGTGGTCCACGCACCGCCCCTCGCTCGATCTCACGGCCCTGCCCCGGCGACCACCGTCTCCACCGCCCACTCGCCCTGCGCTTCGCTCTTGGCCCCACCCGGCCACCGTCGCTCCCTGGAACGCTCGCTCGTGACCCGGAAGCGCATTCTCCCTAGCAACTGCGGGTCCGCGGCGGCGCCGGCCTCCGGGGAGCGACGGTGAGGCTCCTGCCCCCTCCCCCTGCGCACGCCCGGGCCGCCGGGC